TTCAGACGTGTGCTCTTCCGATCTCCCCAAAACCCCAAAACCCCTAATGGAAGATAATCTGTAAATTTTGAGAATATTTAAATTGAATTTTTTTAAATTAAGACAAAATAAGATGAAAATTGGTCATATATATATTAGGTTTATTGCTATCTTTCATATTCTTCTCGCTTAGAGTTAACTTATTTAAGATGGCTACCCACGACAAAATGAAAACTCATGATTTTTCAACAAGAAATTGAATTCCTTTATTCAGTTTCAGAATCCTTTGGATGTAACTGGATAGTTTTTAAAATCCTATACATATGAATTTTTTCTCAGACTGAAAACATTCAAGAAGATCTCTGAAAATGGATTTTCCCTTAACAACTAAAGAGGTTTTATTATTGATTGTGGCTCTCATTCAAATGTGTAATTTGATGAGTAAAATTTGATGTACCAGCAAGCAGGAGGGTACTAGGCAGTGTACTCATTTAACAGCAATGACTTATCAGAAAATTTCTCAGATAAATGGCGTTTATACACTTTTTCTTTTCAAAGCAAGATTGTCAAACAAAATGATCAAGCATACTTGAGGATTTTAATCGATGGTGTTCTAATGAATGAAATATAAATTCAGAATCAAGTTACACTTGATATGTACCCTGTTTCTAAAGATTTGTGCGTAATTGGAAATTCTTAAAAAGCAGATGAATTTCTGAGAAGTAGCTTGCATCCTGATATTAGATACGTCAAGTTTCTTCAGACTCACAGAACTTAAGAGAATTACAATTTTTATATAAACAGTTATCCTCAGGCAAAGCGTGCCAATATAGCCCTATATTTTAAACTTGACGATAAGAATATTTTTAACTATGATTATTACGAGAACCCTTAAGTATATTACTATTAAGATTAGTATGAAGAACATGATAAATCATGGAAATGCAATACTACACATTTAAAAGTAATGAACATCTAAAAAGGAGTCAATATATTTACTGGACTTGAACTGAGAACTACCGATGACTTATAAAATGGATTTTATATGGATTTTTGGATTAATATTTAGCAAGATTTAGAGGACAGTACTAACAAAAAAAGAGTGATATTTACAGCTGATAAACTCATTAGAGTCAAGACTTTAAAGAAAAATATTTTGCTTTAAATAGGCAATAGCGCTAATGATATCGTTTTAAATTAAAGCTATATTTATTACAGAAAGTGGAGCTACTTTGCTATTAGTATTCTCTCTAATAAAACAGTTGAAGTATTTTAAGATGGTTCCAAAATATCAACATTCTAATATCAGGGTAGGATCTCAAATGGTCGAATTTTCAATATTCGCAACGAAATCTCGTTCCTTCTTGCAAGAATAAGAATAATGAAGTTAATATCACATTTGATTTTCAAAATTTTATTGCTCAAAACTATATAGTAGGCTTATATAGTAAATAACTTGATGACTTAGTTACTTTAAGCCTGATATTTGATTTTCAACTTACAGAGGATTAGTTATCAACTTTTTCTGGGTCTTAATCATCAATTACTGGGTCCTTCCTATCCAATATTTATCGCCTGAGTTTTTCAAATTCCAATTTTATACTTTCAGATAATCTATGCGGTGAAGAAAGTCTTTTTTTGAAAGTATAGAATTCCTAAGACACATACTAGGGTGCTTGTAAAGACAATAACTATCTACCAAAGTTTTAAAGCATCACCAATCAATAAGGGCAAACGAATAGTTTGTTTCAAGCATAGCTGCGAACTGCTTATAAATTCATGACAATTGAATTTTGGTTTTTTTACGAAAGAAATCCATCTTCAAATAGCAGTTACATTTACTCATTTCTAAAATAATTCAATGCTGAGGAAAGATTAAAAGTTGAAATTATTTTCAATACTTCAAGCAATTTAGACAACCTAGTTATAGGATTATATGATACTGTCAATGCTAACTTAAACTTTAATTAGTCAATCTAGGAGTAAAATTGGTATCATTTGGCAATCACTGCCAATTCGTAATAGATTGGAACTGTAGCATATTTGTTTGATCCATTCTCTCAGAACACCTAAAAACTTACCTCTAGAGCTAGTATTACATAACCAAACACTCCACTTTCAAAGACTTTTCTCGGAGGTGATATGAAAGGTAATAAGAGATTTGTAGGATCTTTGCAAGAATTTAGGATATGGCTTGAATACAGGACTTTATCAAAGATAGAAAAATACAGAAATTTGGAAATCTCAAATGATAATTAAAGAAACTAACTAACTCACTATTACAAATTTTCCTGCAGTACTTCATACAATAGGATTGAGAATTTGATTTCTTATCAAAACGATGACAAATCGACTTATGATTTTACAATCTAAAATACGTTAGCAGTTGATTCTCCAATAAGGTATGAAAAGTTTGGTGATAGTAAGCGTTTAATAATCTGTATAAATAAAACATATTACTCAAACATCACTAAAATATGTGGCTAGCCTTCAGATTATTCGTTTAATCTAACTTATTAAGTAAACAATAAAATACTCACAATTTTCTCAAATGCAAAGTACTTTAACAATGATCCTACTTCGTTTTAAATGGATTATTAACTGGTAGGTTTATGGCCTTTTTCTTAAGATGTTTTTTCCTAAAAACAGATACTGTTTTCAAAATCAAATGCCAATTAGTTCAATATTCCATTGTATGCTCTGAATGAATAATACATTTATTAAGTTCAACTGAGCATATATAACAAGCAATATTAGGATGAATCATAATAAACTTATTAAATTGATATTGACTTGAAATGTCCATACTTAACTTTCACTAACTTTGTTGAGACTGACAACACTGTTTACCTCTATAATCAGCAGGGAAAATTGCATATAATTAAGTTATTAATTAAAGAGTCATGTTTTTAGAATCAGTAATAGCTAAATTTTAATTGGACTATTTACTTAGATTAAAATGCTACTGACCTGAATTAACTAGTCGATATAACCCTTTCTAATTAGAATCAGTAGATAAATATCTAATAGAAGAAGTCAGTTATTTAGAATTAATTCTAATTTAAAGCGAATGTGTCCTTCACCTATTTGAATTCTAAACTAGCCAGCAATTTTACATATACACAAACAGTAGCATTTAAATTTGTTTAAGATCCAGTAATTATTGTTTTTGACTAAAAAGAGATAGTTCAAACAAAACTTGAACCCCTAATGATTAATGTTTCAAAATCTTTTGTGATATATCCTGGATTAGAGGGTAGAGGGGTAAATTTTGGTATAAGGTGTCCTCAAAATTTTTTGATTTTCACTTAAATTTATGGTTATCTTTGCACTATTGATTCCAGAGCAAGACTATTAATTACTCCAGAGCAACTTAAGTAAATGATTTTTAAAACAAATATACCATTGAACTTTACATTAATGGCATCACCCAAATAAGAAGATCAAAAAGTAAGCTCTAGAGATATAAATGTGTCATTTGTTTTTTATAGCAATGGTATCTAAGGTCCCTAGATTGATTTACCCCCATTAGTAAACATGAGTATGCAATAAAATACAGGTCATATACTACCCAGTTATTATCTTAGTTGCATGAGAACTGGATACTAAGCTAAATATCAAATTGCTAAGGTTGATTGGTTGATAGATCTCTCAAATATTTCTTGGGTTCTCAATTCTGAATAGATTGATAATGCTAACTCCAAATTGACTCAAACTCAAATTTCTGAGTTAAGTAAAAAGTACTTTGATATGTTCTTCAATTTAGCAGATTTTGATACCTTCGCTTTGCTTCATCTTTCATCAAGAGATTATATTGAAATAGGGGAATCCATAAAGATAAATATAACAGTGACTCTTACTTCACCAGAAATAGAGGATTAACAGAAAGTAATAGTTTTATAAACAAAATTACAAAAAATTGCTACCGCTTTCGTTCTCTTTCTATAATCAAACAACAACTCTTTCTAATATAATTATGATGAGACTCTATATCTTAATGCAAGTGGAACATATGACCCATAAGATCCTGGAACAGTACTTGATATGTATTGGACGTGTTAATAAACAAGAGCTTTAATAGGAAACTTTTGCTAAAATGAAAGAAACACAAACAGTATTTCTATTTCCCCATAATAAAGAATTTTATTTAATTGGAAATTCGATTACAACCAAACAATTATTCTTACAACCTCTAATAATAATCTAGGCAATAAATAAGTTTTTCTGATTTAAATTCTCATAAAATCACCTCCCTATTCTAGAAATAT